AGACGAAGAACTTGAGAGTAAAGTCGAGGAGTAACACCACCAAGTTTCAACATCTTGTCTTCTATGTCTTGTTGGGTTTATAAAGGCCAATAACAGCTTAATATCCAGCTCTGATTCCTGGTTTTAAGTAACTTAATTCGGGGATTGATTTAGGGAATTGGATCTGAGCTCCAGTTCCCCGAATTAAGCCTGAATGCCTTCCACATCCCCCCCCCCAGGCGCTGTATAATCCTCCGGGTTTAGCGCTTCCCCCTTGATTATAATAATAATAATAATTAATTCGGGGAACTGGAGCACAGGATATAAAGTACAGTTCTTTTAATAAAGAACCCCTCACTGGCGACAAGAAACTAAAGGGACATAATATTAACTGTATCAGTTTGAGGGATGGGAAGAACCTTGTGAATCTTTCCGTTGGTCTCCAGAATCTACCACTAATTGCCTACATTGTAGGAGAATTGGACTGCCTCACATGGGCCAGCAGGCCTGCTGCAGTGTACCTTCTTTCTCATGTTCTTAAGTGCTAAGCATGCAGCACTCATTTCCATCTAATTCTTTTCTATTCTTAGGTAATTTATTGAATGTCTTAGTTTCTGACAAAGATTTTATACTGAAAGTTCTTAAATTTAATTTTTTTTTAGATTTAGATTTTTTATTTTGACAAATTACAGGGTTGTACAGAGGAATATAACAGTTGGGTGTACATGCCAAAAGCCCCTCTATATGCTGAGCATTTCGGGCAAACTTAAAGATTAACTTAAGAATAGTAAGGCAAAAATTACATAGTTCATTATGGTCATTAGATGAGCGAGTACGGAGAGTTTAATATTATATAGGCGATGCTACATGGTTTTGTAAGTCTAGAGAACTTTTCACACTGTTGAAATTTGTTAATAGATTATAGTATTACAATGTAACAATTTAAAAAAATTTACAGTGTGTGTATTAGTTTAATACTATTTAAAACAATGAAATTTGGTATTACAAGAACATTTAATTAGTCCACTGTTTCAAAACATTTTTATTTCCAAATAGAAAAGGGTATTTAAATTAAATCAGCCCTCCCAATAAGGACCCCTTGGGGGTTTATTGAAAAAATTCAAAACTATGCAGTATTATTATTTTTTAAAATAAGAAAAACCCCAATAAAAGCGTTTGGGGTATTGGAAGGAATCAGGCAATTGGGGAAGGGGGAAAAGCTTTAAATGGAAACATCGGAAGTCCCGATGTAAGAAAAATATTCTACTTGAAATTTTTATTATAAAAAGGGAATAAAAAACCTGAGTTTACCCCAGCCTCTGTTTTTAACATTCTTTAATTTCAAACCCTAGCAAGGTTTCCTTTCCTTAAATCAAGAGCCCTCACCCATCAGGAACCCCCCTTGAGGGGTATCATGTGAACAAATAGTGAACATGGAAAAGCTATGCAGTATTATTATTTATAATCAAGGGAAGCGCTAAACCCAGGATTATACAGCGCCTGGGGGGGGGATGTGGAAGCATTCCAGGCTTAATTCGGGAACTGGAGCACAGATCCAATTTCCTAAATCAAGAGCCCTCACCAACATCAAGGAACCTTCCTTGAGGGGAGAAGCTATGCAGTAGACATTATTATTATTATTATAATAATCAAGGGGAAAGCACTAAACCCATAGGATTATACATTATTGTAATTGAAAAAAAAAAAAAAAAAAAAAGAAGCGCTAAACCATATAGGATTATACAGCGCCTGTGGTGGGATGAAAAGTACTCAGGCTTAATTCAGGAAACTGGAGCACAGATCCAATTCCCAAATCTAGGGCCCCTCACCAGCATCAGGGAACCTTCCTTGAAGTGTGTCATATGAACAAACAATGAACATGGAGAAGCTATGCAGTAGACATACTGGCCCATCCAAACAGGTCCTGCTCAAATTCATCTTCATGACCCTCTTGCTACTAGTGACCTGTACTCTCCCCTGTAAACAGTTTTACCTTGCTCTGTATTAGGATTGGTGAAGCCACTTGCAGCAAAACATTTCCTTTAAGAAAATAACTGAAAATGTACATGTGCTGCTGGCAAAGGGTTCTTGATCCAAAGAATTGTATCTGTTTTCCTCTTCCTTGAATCAGTCTTGATAACCTGTTTCCTAGATGCTATATGGGGTGACCCCTATGGGTTCAGCACTACCTACTAAGCATAAGAGAAAATCACAATGCACATCAAATAACTCATCTGGAAATTCAAGAAAACACGCAGACTATTCAGCTGAGTGACATCTGAATATAGGAAGTGGTCTTTAAGATGTTTTATTGGGCCCAATTGGCCTCTTTGGTCTCACAAAATAAAAAGAGGCCCAGTCAATCTGGTAATAATTTTCCCGAACCATTAATAGACATATAAAATTAGTAGAAGTAAAAACCTCAGTTTGATAATAGTGGGGTTTTAAAATTTTAAGTAGCCTACAAATCCACTGAATACTTTGAGAAAATATTAGGAATGGGACATACCAAATTTTTTTTATATAACCAATACTCCAATTTAGACCAATACCATCAAATTAGCTGATACAGAAACTTTTGTATGCCCTAGAAAATATATAAAAGCCATTTATATTATGGGGGACCACTAAACCCATAGGGATTAATACAGTGCTGTTGAGGGAGATAGAAGGCATTCAGGCTCAATTCAAGGAACTGGAGGAATTCAATTTCCTAGATCAAGAGCCTTTCACCAGCATCAAGGAACCTCCTTGAAGGGGAAGTCATTTATTAAAAGGGGCCTAAATCACATTACAGGAAACTGTGCCCATCTGCCTTTCCTTGCAGAATTTGATGCAGAATAATTAAAGCGAAAGTAATAAGTAGATAAAATTCTAAGAGGACTGAAAAATTAGGTACTCAAAAAAACATGAATTTTTATTGGTACTGTAATTAAACTTTGAAAGTTATAACAAACTACTAAATTAATAATACTGCATAATACAACAAAAGAAAATGTTTTTGGAAAACCATGGAATTGGAGAAGAAACAGAATATTTTTAAATAAACACTGTCAGTAATCTTAAATGAGAAATAAATATCCAACCTATGGAAAATGTTTTCCACCCATTAATTATAATTATCTATCTTTCCATTTCTACATAATTACTATTGAAAGTGGCTTATACTGTATCCCCCTGTATAAATTCTAAATGAAAAAAAGAAGAAAAACTTCAAAGTTTTCTTCTTTTTGGGATCACCCTTCCGTGTGGTGAACAAAAAAAATACCGTACAGTATATGAGGCGAGATGCAACAGGTTCATTGAAAAAAAAAAAATAAGGATAAGATTTTCAATTCAAGTTCAGATCTGAGATGCAAAAAAAATTCTGCATTTTTGAGCTTGTCAAAAAGGCTATTGTTATGCATATCATAGCATTTTTTCCAATTTTCTCTAGTAGTTTTTCCAAACAATATCTTACTATCTTTTACTGAAATTATTTTGTCCAATCTGAAATACTATTTTATTCCTGTTCTAGTTTTAGTATGCTCATAATTTGAAGACATTACAGTGTTTTTGTATTCACCTGTACAATCCTTAAACAATTTGTTGTATGAATTTATCTTGATTGCAATCTTTATTTTTATCTTTTTTGTTCATTTCTCATTACTCTAATTAGCGGCTAAATATTCAATGTTACACTTTTTCAGATCCTATTTTAATGAAAAAAAATTACCTTATATATACCTTCAGCTATTTAAAGCTTTATTTTATTCAGTTTTTGCCCAGTTTTACCCAAAACATACAACAGAAAGTGCTATTATGATTATTATTATTATTAAAAACAAAAAGTGCTTAACCTACAAGGGTTGTACGTAACAGTGTTACAAAAGCCCTCTGATTTATTTCTCAAATTAACTATGTGCTGTATCTGACACTGATAAGTGTGACCCTTGGATGTTGTTATTCCTATTTACCTTAGCTCTAACATGATTGGTTACCCTTGGTTGCTATCATTCCTACTTACCTGAGCTTTGTAACAAGTTTGGTTACCCTGGGATGATTTTTTTTCCCTATTTACCTTAGCTTAACATGACTGATTACCCTTGCATGTTATCATTCCTGCTTACCTGAGCTCTGCAACATGTTTGGTTTACCCTCAGATGGTTTCATTCCTATTTACCCAGCTCTGTAACATGTTTGGTTATGTTTTTAAAAACCTATGCTCTCTGCATTTTCTTGACGAGCTTTATTATAGTCTCGCATTATTAGTATTATCTTTGTCTTTCACGCTACAGCTATTTTTACACAAAAATTTAAGCCAGTTTGGAGGGGCAGCTTAGTATCAGTGCACATCTGGCAAGACAGTGTGGAGTGATAGTGAAAGCATTTCTTCCTTTTTGGGTCACCCTACCTTGGGGGAGACAGCCGGTGTTAAAAAAAATTATTAGCCATTCATCTCCCATAACCCCTGGCATTACACGCATCAAATCACACTTGCATAATCTTACATAACTTTAATTTTTCTGTATATACTTCCTTTATCTTTACCTTTTCTTACCCAGAATTTACTTTATTTCTCATTATGTCCAGGTTTGTCATTTATGATTTCTGTATCCTGTGTATGTTTTAACTCTTCAGTATACCTTTTCCTCATAAAGTTTGTCTATAAATCATCCATTCTTTAAAACTCATACTAATATATTTTGCTTTAGTATTTGCTTTGTTTTCTTTTACTCAACTTTGTTGACCTATATTTCTAAATTACTACATCTCAAAATTTTTTTCCTCAATACAACCTAGGCCTTGAATGACAAAATCTCTACATGTAAATCACATGTACCCAATAAAATGTATCTAAATTCAAAACAGGTTTAGGGGCATTTTTTAGCATAATACATACCCAAAAGTAATACAATGATATGTGTATTTAAACTGAAAAAAAATAAGCTTTAAAGAGATCAAGATATTAAAAAAGAATGAGCTAATATAACCCTTAAATGAAGACTGCATTTTGACTCAACAAAAGCCTGAGGCAAGGTTCACACTTCTCGTTCCTTCACAGAGCCACTTCCATTCCAAAGTAAGCAATCTTGGCCATTCCAAACAAAAAAAACCTGTTTCCACAACACCTGAAAAATAAAAGTTATTAAATTTAACAAGTAAAAAAAAAGGTGAAATCTAAATTTAATTTCTTACATGGTCATTTTAGTAAAGAAATAAGTAGTAACACACTCAAATGCTGCAACAAGGCACTAGGTCATGTCAAAGTTCTTTGTTTCCCTAATGAGAACTGCCCAAATAATTTAGGTATCAAGCACAATACGAGTTTAATTGAAAATATTACCACAAAAAAGTGAACCCGTGGGGGTCATTCAATTTACAGCTTACACCAAGCCAATCTAGAAATTTTTCCCTTTTTATTATTTTAAATAATATAAGACAACCTGTAAACCATTCTAAAAAAAAATATAAGATCAACATTTAGTACCGGGGAACCTCAAAAAATCGAACTTAATCCGTTCCAGGAGCTAGTTCTAAATTCGAAAAGCCTGAAATTCGAGCATATTTCCCATAAGAAAATGGAAAAAACAATTAATCCTTCCAGAAACCCTAAAAAATTTCACCAAAAAATACATTTTATTTGAGATTAATTACAGTTTTACATACACCCCAAAAAATGCTATAGTCTTAAAATTAGTATATAATTAAAATTAACATTTTTACTTACCTTTATTAAGATTGGTGATGGCATCTGGAGATTTGGGAGGGAGAGAGGGAGTTGGGGTTGTTTGGAAGGAGAATCCCCCCCATGAGGACTTCCGGTATCAAAGCCCTATCTGGGGTTGCTTCCCTTCTCTGTATTTAATGCCACTAGGACCGCTTGAGAGTCATTTGGGCCCAGTCTCATAAAAATTAACTGGTTTTAAATGTCCTTTTGTTTCTGTCTCACAAAATAATTCCAAGGGGTCTGTTTCTGTCTCAAAAAATAACTGTCCACAATGTCTGTTTCACAAAATAACTTTCCCCAGTCGTCTGTTTGTCTCACAAAATAACTGCCACATTGTCTGTTTGTCTCACAAATAAACTTTCCACATTGTCTGTTTTGTCTCACAAAAAATCCACAGTTTCGTTTCTTCTCAAAAATAAAATGTCACAGTTCGTTTGCTTTCTGTCTCACAAAAAAAACTGTCCACAGTCGTCTGTTTCTGTCTCACAAAATAACTGTCCACAGTCTCTGTACATCCAGGCAAGCTCAACAAGTCTCACTCCAATCTCATACTTCTGTATTATTTTGTCTTCACATCTATGGTGTTTCTCACTTTCTTTACCACAGGGGTACCGCTAGCAAGTTTCTTTGGGCCCATGGCAGCTTATTTCACAGCCCCACAAGCACTAAACACGATTAAATAATCGTAAAATGTGTGAATGAGATCGCAGGTTAGTGTTCACTCAAGCATAAACAAAGCTAGACTGCTCACGGCGCCTGTGCGGGGACGCGGACAGAGCGGGCCAGCGGACAGGTCCCATACCCGGCGGTCCAAAAATAGGGGCGTGTTCGATAATAGGGACACAGTTTGTCCGAAAAAATGGTCTTATTTTCGAAACGTTCGATATGTGATACGTTCGATTTTTGAGGTTCCTGTATCTGAATAAACCCACAAGATTTTTGGGTTGATGAAAAATGCTCACTAGGATCATTAAAGCTGTATGTAGCCCTTTCACTTCCAGATAAGAATACATTAATCCCTAAAATAGGAATTAAAGTAAACTCTCAGCATATATATGCTGAGAGAAATAAACCACTATGTACATATCCTGAAAGATGCAAAGGATGAAAGTAAAATAACTGCAAATAAAAATTTGATGGAATACTTAAAACTACAAAATAGAAATAAACCAGCCTTACTTTGGATAAATGATAAACTTACCTGGAATCATCTTAATCTGCTGATTAACTTTCTGCCAATCATATGTGCGATCAAAAACCCAGTCCACAATAAAGTTACCATTGTCTGTCACAACCGGACCCTGAAATCAAATGTATTTTTTAATTCTGACACAGATAAATCTAATGCTCTGTTCATTTGTGCGAAAGATTTTAACTACCCATTTGATTTTCAAAAGGCCGAGAAAGTTTAATCAGATAGGTCCATGGTTCAGAGAAATAAAGTCTAATCAAATTTCATAAAACAATACTATATGTATTATTATAAAAATCATGATGTTTGTTTTGGAATTTTTTTATTTTCCCAGCTCAAATAAATTATTTCAAATGCTGTCTACCTTATTACCTAAGCCATTTTACAAACCTTGAGATATATGAACCAAGGGAAAGTTTTACAAAATTATAACTGCTGACTGCTCGTTCTACTCCCCACCCATCTTCACTTAGTATGACAGAGTCAATCCAGGCAAATAATACTTTTAAACATTTTGATACTGTCTTCCATGGCTTGGTTGGCAATGCTCTCGCCTCACACACACTGTACATGGTTGATTCGAGACATGGATGGAAATGCTGAGCATGTCTCCTTAAAACTTGCTGTCCATGTTCACCTAGCAGTTAAGCAGGTGTCTGGGTGTTACTTGACTGGTGTGGGTTGCATCCTGGGGGACAAGACTGAAGGGGCCCCAATAGAAAGAAGACAGTCCTCAACGACACACTGACTTTCTTGGGTTATTTTGGGTGGCTAACCCACTGGGTTAAAAATCTGAACAAATCTTATCTTAAGAACACAGAAAAAGGTCAATTAAACAGTGTAGTCATTAATGTGTGTTATTAAGGATATACAGCCTCTCCTCACTTAGTGATGAATTCGTTTACCAACATGGTCTTAGGAATGGAACTTCATTGGACTCTCATCTACACAGAATGCACAGCTAATGATAATTACTTATTAAATGAGAGGTTATATATTATTTTATGGGGAAGTATTAACTCAGTGTTATACAACCCATGGAGAATGGGAAGTAATGAGGTTTGCTCCAAGAGGAGAGTTGCTCTAATGCCATGGATCAAGAGCCTTCAGCACCCTCTTGAAGAGTTAAACGAGTGAGGCACCACATCCATGTCGATTCTTTTCAAACATACATATAAACCTTTTCCATATAATTACATGCAACTTACTGCTTTGGCTTTAGCTTGTCTTAATACAGCTTTTCCGCCGAGCTCCAACTCAATTTTCAACTGAACAGTACGATATGCCATTGGAACAACCTCAATTGGAATCCCTTTTGTCCACTGTTCACCAAGGGCTGTTGAGTCTTTCCTGGTAAAGAATACATTACAGGATTAGCAACTTTAACAAATTAAATGTATGTATAACAAAATATCTAATTTTCTACACACACATAATAAAAGGTGATTACACAGTATCCTAACCTGTAATCTGCAACAACTATAAAAGTTTGGCCGCTGCAGCAACAATTTTTTCTGCAAGTGGCATCCTCCACCGCCCTTGATGAGGGTTAATTTAGCATCTGCTTCATCGGCACCATCAATGGCCACGTCCAGCTAAAAAAATACACAACCTCAATACATTATATCACATTTTGTAAAGTTATTGTAGACAAACAGTTCATATACAGTATTGTACTTCTGATATAGAGGTTATTTTTAGAAAATGTTATTATGTAAAGATTATATACTAAATGTTGAAACCTATGTGACCATAATTTATGACCTAAGCAATATACAGTAGGGCCCCACTTATACGGGCAGGTTAGGTTCCAGGTTACGCTGGAAAGCAGAACGCCACTTTTTTCCGCTTTAAATGCATATAAATGCCAGATAACAATTTTACATATACTACATGTATTAAGTTTGCAATAGAACTAGGCATTAAGAACAATAAAGGTAAAATACACAACACAGTACACTCATTACTTACCTTAAAATATTTGTAGTCTTAATGTAGGGCGAGAGGCGAGTAGTATTTATTGCAAGAAGTGAGGTATGGTAGCCAGCCAGCCACCCACCCCACACGTAATATACTTGACATTTAAAGCGCCCCATAGCAATAAAATTTACAAACAATACACTCATTGCTTACCTTAAAATATTTGTAGTCTTAATGTAAGGTGAGAGGCGAGTAAATGAGTAAAACAAATAAACGAGAGAGAGAACGAGTAATGAGAGAGTAGAGAGATGCGGAGTATGTAAATAAGCAGACAAACACGTCTAGTTTTGGTTCATACATGTTCATCTATACGTGACGTCCGTATTTATGTTAATTTATTCAACTGTGGGGTGTATTTATCATGTTTATATGTTACATATACAGTGGACCCCGGTGTTAACGATATTTTTTTCATTCCAGAAGTAATTTCAGGTGCCAGTACTGACCAAATTTGTTCCATAAGGATTATTGTAAAGTAGATTAGTCCATTTCAGACCCCAAACATACACGTACAAATGCATTACATAAAATACACTTGCATAATTGGTAGCATTGGGAGGTGATCGTTAAGCGGGGGTCCACTGTATTTATATGTCCAACCGCCCAGGGAGGTACTACCGTCTGCCAAGCGAGTGTAAAACGAAAGCCTGTAATTGTTTTACATGATGGTAGGATTGCTGGTGTCCATTTTTTGTCTCGTAAACATGCAAGGTTTCAGGTACATCTGCTACTTCTACTTCCCTTTGGGTCACACTACACTACATGTACAAGTATATATATATATAACATACCTCTCTAGGTTTTCTTCTATTTTCTTACTAGTTCTTGTTCTTGTTTATTTCTTATCTCCATGGGGAAGTGAAACAGAATTTTCCTCCGTAAGCTATGCGTGTTGTAAGAGGTGACTAAAATGCCAGGAGCAAGGGGCTAGTAACCCTTTCTCCTGTATAAATACTAAATTTAAAAAGAGAACTTTTGTTTTTCTTTTTGGGTCACCTTGACTTGGTGGGATATGGCCGGTTTGTTGGAAAAAAAAAATATTTATATGTTACATATGTTATATATGCTTCTAAACTGTTGTATCTGTTGTGCCTCTGCAAAGACAGTGATTGTGTGTGAGTGAGGTGAAAGTGTTCAATGAAAGTATGTATTTTCTTTAGGAATTTTCTTTCTTTTTGGGTCACCCTGCCTCGATGGGAGACGGCCGAGTTGTTGAAAAAAAAAAAGTTAGTGCATTTATTATATAATTTTGAAAAAAATATCATAGATGGATTAATGAAAATGTTTATATAAACATAATACACAACATTTAATGTGCCTGAGTGATTATTATTGCATATTATCATTATTAATATGGTGTCCTCAAGACTAATAAGACACTCTTAGTGATTTTAATGTGTACTTTCATGCCAGCACAATGTGTAATTTATTTTGGTACGGTACAATAAATTTAATTACAGAGTTATATAAAACATGAAA